TATTAAGGCTTCATTTAATATGATTATGGTTTTTAATTTTTAATTTTAGTTTTGAAAAATTTTGCAACTAATAAAAGCCTAAACTAAAAACCAAAAATTGACAATTTGTTAGGACAAATTTTAATACTAAAAATTAAGAGTCTATTTAATTTGAGAGGATAAAAAACAATTTGTTTATTTGTTTATCGAAAATTTTGCGGAGATAAGAGAGGAGGAAAGTCCTTTACGCTTTTTGGTTTCAAATCCTTTAATTCTTTTATCTCATTCAAATGAGAGGATGGGAGGGGAGGGATTCTAATATTCATAATGATATATTGAAAATCAAACCTTAACTAAACAAGTTTTTTTGTTCGGTTAAAGTTGTAAAAATTATAAAAAAAAAATATATTGATACATATTTAATTCAACATAATTTTTAATATTTATCTTAGTTTAGTTATTAAAATATAATATAAATACAGATATTTCAATTGATTTTTGCATTTTATATGATGTTTTGATTTTTAAATTTGTATGTTTTTGATTTCATATAAAAACTAATAATATATAATGTAATGTATTAAATTAAAATAAAAATCAATAAATATTCTTTAAAAAACCATAAATCACAACTATACTAAATGTAACCTAAATAATTAAGCAAGAAAACATAAACCTGATAGAAAAGAAAAATCAGCCACGCAAGGGGAAGAAGAGCCTCTCACCTTCATACCATGTCTCTCATCCGAATGGACAAGAAAGCACCACACTTGCCTTCTCTAATCGGGGCTTCACCAACTATGGTTTTTAATGTGCCATATGAAGTTCAGAAATAAATTAAAAAGGTGCTCAAGCGATAGAACCAAAACTATATAATTAACTATACTTACAAACTTCGTCAGATGATATTCAGGAACTCAGCCGCTAGCTGTCAAACACAAACAAACTCCAGCAAGAATCAATCGGCTGATGATGCCTTTTCTTTTGAGCGCAATTGTTGTTTAGTGCTATACTTGCATAGAATATCGTGTAAATGCTCACGTCAATTTTCTCAATGAAGAAAATATATAAGAGAATCAAGATTGAAGATGTAAGTTGCATACCTGCGTGTTTAGCAAAAAGAATTTGAAAAAAGTAAACACAAATAACCGAATTAGAGCAAGTAAATTATACGTGGTAGTAGATCTGGTCAATTGCAAGCGTACCTTTTCCTAATAATTGGGCTGTCTGATTAGAGACAACTTATTAAGGTAGCAGTAGGTAAATTTGAGGAGGGGTTAGGGGTGAGAATTAGAGTGAATAGTCGATCAAAATCAATGAAGAAGTCAATGAAAGCATTGATCGATATTTCGAAGAAGGAATGTTCATATAAAAGAAGGGTTTTTAGAGCACATGATAGAAGTGTATTTATTGTATCTTTTTATCATTATTATATATAATAAAATTAAAAATTGATATTAATTTGATCAATTTTCTAATAAAAATATTCATGTATCTTAAATATTAAAATTAATGTTAATTTTTTTATTTTTTACATAAATTAATATATAAAAAATATATTTAAAAATAAATTAATATATAAAAATATATTTAAAATCACATGTCAAATAAACTTATAAAACAAATACAGCACCAAGTTGCAAAATTTTTAACTCGTGTCAAATTCAAGTGCTCATAAAGAGAGTCGTCGTAATATTTTTTTCCTTCTTTTAAAATTCTCTATTGTTTTTTTCTTAAAAAGAAAGAAATATATTTTTAAAAAATAATAAAAAAAGATGAAAATTTAAAGTTAATAGTGAAGTTTATATTATATTATTAAATTAATTAATATATATAATATTATAAATTTTAAAAAAATAATTATTAAATAACATAAAATTTACATTTTAATATTTTAAATAATACAACGTGTATCTTGTCCTTGGCCTCAAATTTTAATCATATATATCATTACTCATTTCTAAGAAGAAGCATAGCAGATGATAGTGACATTAATTAAAATTTTATATTTATTTTTAATTGAATTTATTAAAGTTGTATAATAGAGATAATTAAAAAGTTCATTTTAATATCATATTATCATAATTT